TTTAAGAGACTGAGCTGAATACAGCATCTCAGACTGAGGAAGTCTCTTGGATGAGAGACGAAACGTTTCTACATTTTTTTGTTGTTTTGCTTTGTTTTGTTTTTTTGAATGTCCAGAGGACCAGATTGAACTTTTTTTAGATTTTTCTACCTGGATTATTGAGCATGCATCAGGAAACTCATTCAATTATAGCTCAAGTGGGTTGTTGTGTTTTCAGATGGAGGCTAAAATTGTGATGGCAAAGCTGATCCAGAGATTTGACTTCAGCCTCGTCCCAGGACAGACCTTTGACATTCGGGACACTGGCATGCTGAGGCCGAAGAGTGGCGTGGTTTGCTCCATTAAACACAGGAAGTAGAAACTACGTGGTGTTAAAACTCCATTACATCATAAGAAAGCATGATGGTCCTCGTTGTGAAGAAGAGTTCTTAGACTGTTCTTAGGCTTTATTCCTGTTTCAGCTCGACACTAATTATAATGAAAAACATGTTTGTTTTTGTTAATTTGTATTGTACTTAACAATTAGCACATTAATTCTAAACAAATTTGTTTATTCATGCATTTAGTATTCTTAAATCTGAGTTCATTGTTATAACACATTAACTTTTTAACCTTTAATACTAATGTAAGTACTGAATTTGATATTCTTGGTTCAGTTGAAATAAACTGCAGCTGGTGATTTGATGCCTCTTTTCCACACTGTGTCCACACAGAGGTGCTGTTACTGTGTTAGGAATATGTTAAGGTGCCTATTAAACTTTTTTAAGGATCACACTCTTAAGTTTGAAAAGTTTTTATTATATTTTAGAAAAATGTGAAAAATGGTAACTTTTAGTTTTGTGAAAAGTTACACTATTTTAGTTGTACTGTTTCTTTAAAAAACATTTGAACAAGTTTTTTATTGGGCTTTTTAAATGTTGGCTATGTAATAGTTAATGTTTCAAAAGAAAATAAATCTGAACAATTTAAAGGAAGTGTTTCATATTGTCTGTCTTTCTTTGTAAAATAATGGTTTATGGTAGGCAGCACGGTGGCGCAGCTGCTGCCTCTCAGCGAGCAGGGTTCAAATCCCGGTCCGGGGGCCCTTCTGGTGGAGTTTGCATGTTCTCTCTGTACATGCGTGGGTTTTCTCCGGGTCCTCCAGTTTCCTCCCACAGACCAAAAACATGCATGTTAGGCTGATTGGTAACTCTAAATTGTCCCTAGGTGTGAGTGAGAGAGTGAATGGTTGTTTGTCTCGTGTGTGTGATTGCTGGACATGGGCACCGGCGACCCCTGTGACCCAAGATGGATGGATGGTTCATGGTTTAAAAAACCCAAAAGTTTAATTCTGTCAGGACTATTGAGCTAATAGCCAGTCAAGCTAACAGCTAGCAGGGCCAAAGCTAAAGTGATTTGCTGCCATCTTAAAACAACTCCACTCTCCAAAATTCAAAGCTATTTATGTAAATTCTATTTTCTAAATCCTTATTTAACCATCATGCATGTATTGCATGCATAATAGTATGGCAGAAATATTGTGATATTTTTAATGGGCGTGCTACAGCTAGCTGCCGCTGCTGTTTTAATGCAAATAGGCATAGATTTCTATGTTAAAAACTATATAATGCAAAACTGGTGACAATAAAATACTTTTATTTGCACCACCATGTCATTTTAAGAACGAGAGGTGTTTAAATATGACAGCATTCCCATCTGAACTACCTTTTAGTAAGCTGTTCACTAGCAGTTAACCTGCCAACCATTTGGGCGGGACATTTGCAGATAAAAAAAAAAAGATGTCTGTAACTCGCTCAGAATTAAAGGGAAAAACATTTTCTTGTTGAAGTTCAGGTAAATTTATTAACTGATTCAACCATCAACCAATTTATTAGGTTGAACATCTTTGCTTATTAGATTATAATATTGCTTGGGAGATTGTTTGTGCATGTGTGCGTGTGTGTGTGAGAGATGTTGGGGGCAATTTAAATGGCTATAAAGTTTTGCAGTAACTAATAAATACAGTAAATAATCTAACATTTATTTGCTGTGGCCATCATTACTGGACAAATGGTGGGCTCATGATTTGTAGACAGGTAATGTGTTCGTAGGGAAGCTTTTATTTTTTATTTATATTTGTATTTTGTTCTTTGTTACCTAGCTGGTAGGTTTCTTGGGGTAGCCTGCTTTGTTTCTACATCAGATTATACGGTGCAAAAGATTTTTAGACATAAAAGTACAGTATGATGAAACCAAAACAAGCCCATGGAGCTCAATGTGTCAAAAATAAAACACACAAAACAAAAAGTAACGATAAGGCAGTTTTCAAGTTTGATCTCAGATAAAGTTCAGCCTAAAGACCAGACATTGTTCATCTTTCAATAAATATATAATGTACTGATTTTGTGTCTTTTGTTAGGAATTAAGTAAAATGCATTTCAAATAGCTGGAAAACGCATAGATTTGAGGAGATTCAAATAAAAAATAATTTAAAAAAAAAGTCCCCCAGGTGGGGTGGGGAGCTCATGCCCCCAGACCCCTCAACAACTCCTGTGCGTCACTGGCGCGCGCAAATATGTAAAGGTGTCCCTCGTTCCCATCAGCAAATCTTAGCACTAGTTTTGATTAGCTAGCAGTTAGCTCCTCAGTCTGGTCAGATATAAACTTTATTTCTCCCAGCTGAGGTCGTTAAAAGAGACAGTGTGATAATTACTATCAATTCACTACCCTATGAAAACAATAAACTATATATCGCCATGTTTTTCCGAGGCGTCCTGAACGCGTCGTACTGTTGCTTTAAGAGGGCTGAGCTTCGTGCGCGAGGCTCCAGCGCACTTTTCATCTACCTGCCGCTCTCCTCCGCCTTGATTGGCCCTCTTTGAGCCAAGTCCTCTTGAAGGATTTCAAACCGGAGACGTAGGAGAAGGAGGAGGACGGTGGAGGGTCCGCTGAAAATTAGGGTGGAAAAGACCGAGCCCTCAGTCCAGGAACGCGAACGCACCATCTCATTGAAGAGCCTTTTACATCCGACCGCGTCCAAAAGAGAAACCACGGCTGGAAAGTGGGATTTTCATATTGTTTTCATTTGTCGTGCTCGAACACCACATTTGCATGTAAAGAAAAAAAGAAACTTTGTTTTCCCGACATTATTTATGGAGTGGTGTCCAGCGGAGATGGTCTCCTAGTTGCGGTGTTAATGGACTCGTCTGCTGGGACCACCAGGACCTGGCTGTGAATCGATACATATTAGAAGTCGATAACTGGGGGCATGTAAGAACCAGTTCCTGCCAGGCTCTTTTCTTGAACCAGATTAGCGGAGGTTGCCACATCGCGTGAATGTTTCTCCTGTCGGCCTGTTGAAGATCAGCTCTTTTTTTAAAAATTTTTTTTTAATCTTTTTTTGGACAATGTGTTCGTTTTTTACCACAGCTCCGCAGCTCAGGTTAGGTTGAGCAAGCTTCATCCGATTCCAAGTGGCAGCATTCACATTCAGATCTCAGTCATGGCGAAAAACGCGTCCGAGGCGCCCAAGGATGACCTGAGCCAGCAGACGGACGAGGAGCTGCTGCGGAGCTCCAAGGAGGAGCTGCTGAGGAGGCTGAGGAGGGCGGACGGCGAGAAGATGAGCCTGATGATCGAGCACGGCAACATGATGAAGGACATCAACAGGCGGCTGCAGGTGCACCTGCACGAGATCCGCAACCTGAAGGAGATCAACCAGAAGCTGCAGGACGACAACCACGAGCTGCGCGAGCTCTGCTGCTTCCTGGACGACGACCGGCAGAAAGGCAAGAAGCTGTCCCGGGAGTGGCAGCGCTTCGGCCGCCACACCGCCAGCGCCATGTGGAAGGAGATGGGCACCTACATGGTGAAGCTCAAGGAGCTGGAGGCCAACCAGGAGACCGTGCTGAGGGAGAACTCCGAGCTGAAGGAGATCATCCTCATGCTGGACGAGGAGAGGAACGGCGCGGGCTCCAGGAGCTCCATAGACAGCCAGTCCAGCTTGACCAACCAGAACGGAGGGACTGGGACCGTCCGGGACGTGGGGGACGGGAGCAGCACGTCCAGCACGGGAAGTGCTGGCAGCCCCGACCATCACACTCACAACCACCTGCACAGTAAGCCCGCAGAGAACTCTAAGGTGGGTCCGACCACCACGAGGAGGTCCATGGATGATCTGTCAGCGCTGCACCATCACAGGAGCATCCCCAACGGGCTCAACGGTGAGTGCACGACCTGCTGTTTGATATGTCGCACTAACTGCAGTGATCCAACTGCTGGCCCACGGGCCACTTCTGTTCCGTATATGGACCATCTTTAAAGGCAGCGAGATCTGAGACGTGTGCAGAAGAGTGGCTTTATTTTAAAGTCTGCAAGGTCCTCATAAAATATGTTGCTCAAGAAAAAGGTTCGAATTGTGCGCAGTTAAATTGTGATTATAAAATAAATTTGTAAGATATTCAAGATGAAATTTTATGTGGAACTGCAGCGGCGTTGTGTTTATTATTTACAAGCGAAGTGGTGGGGAATTAACCAAAAGTAAGACGTCTTTTTCATTGTTTTCACAAAGGAGTCAATGATTTTTTTTATTGTCATTCACATCACATGTGGTACACGAGGTGGAAGGAAACTATGTACACAGGGTCTCAGTTACACGCAACAAAAATACAACTTGTACAGTAAAAACAGTAATAAGATCCGAGACATGAACTAAAACAGGGGGCTGCAACCTTTACGATCAAAGGAGACGTTTCTGCCCCTTCCGTCACTAAATTAAACGTGTCCGGAGCCACAAAACCTGCTACAATTGTCATGATCAACTGGTGGCCCATGGGCCTCGTTAAGTTTGTCAGAGGGGGCTTTTCTGGCCAGTAGGCGTGAAATTATAAAAATAAAAACATCCAATGATTGTTAACATTTATTGATATTTTAACATTTTGAGACAAAAGACTAGATTCCATCCATCCATCCATCCATCCATCCATCCATCCATC